GTGTAGAACCGAACATTTTTCGAACAGTTTCATTCCTGCTGCGTCTCGTGCTTATAATAATAAGTAAACGTTAGTGTTTATTGTAATTTTTATCTAATTTACCTATTTTTACTTGTAAATATAGAATAGATTGAATATCTATATATGTTCTTATACCTTGTAATTCCAAAGGAATTCAGTTGTTACTGCTAGTTTGGAAAGTTTTTTTTTTATAATATAATAATAAAAATGTTTTCTCTTTTCCAGACGATAGGAAATTTTCCTTCCTGGTAAGACGTATTCAACTTTGTTAACACTGATACCGGAGAAGTTATCGTTTTAATTAACTACAGATGGAGGGTCGGTGGGAATGTCTTGATATAAGTTGGATAGATCTTCATCACGCAAGGGGTGGTATGTGCCCATAGGTTTCAGAAAGGTACTGTTAATTAAATTGGCAAGTTCTTTCGACGATAGGTGATCAATGTTTTCTATTTGAAGTTGCGATTGAGGATCGCGATTGCAGGTTTTCATTCCGCTGATACGCTTGATGTCAGACCACCATGTCTTGGGATTTAATTTTTTAAAGTTACTGACCTTATCTTTAGTTAAGCTGCAATTATCAATAATTGTGCGAATTTCTTTCGTGTGGTCAGTCAAGGTGTCATATGGCCTGTGACGTAGGCGCATGGACATATCCGAAGTGTTTTATATTTGCAAGTATGGCGGAATCACAAAAAGCTCCCGTAAAGTGAGGTGGAAGATACTGTGTTTGTGGCGGCCCTGGTGGTGTTATTTGTAAAAATTCTACGCACACACCAGGAATAATTATGCATTAATTTCCTTCGGATAAAACAAGACCGGACGAACGAAGATTGTGGACAAAATTTGTAACAAGACACCGCGTAAATTTCTCACCCACACAATACTCCGTTGTGTGTTCTGCGCACTTCGAGCCCTCGTGTTATCCGCAGACGGCTTTTCTCTGGATATCCCAGAACATCTCAGACCAAAAGCGAGATATTTAAAGCCAGATGCTCTCCCAACAATCGATGCCGTTCCGCTGGAGACGGATAAATTAAAACCAACACCAGTTTCAAAGCGTCAAAACAGAATGGTAAATATGATGTATCTCAATATGGTGTATATACAGTACAAGTGTGAATATGTTATAAGGATCTGATTGTTTGTGATTGATTTCTTGTCTGGGTCAATGGCAAACTCTGCAAATGACATGGATATCTACGATGATACAGTGTTTTATGTAGGTGATATTGTTGTTTCACAAAATACCAACAACGAGCAAGAATCTGAAGTTATTACACCACAAGAGATAGAAAAAAATGACCAATCATTTGCAAGCGCTTCGTCGAACGACTTTGATGTTTTGGCTATGTCACCGTGTTCAGGTTGTGCTGAAAAGGAAAAATTATTTCCCTACAAAAGAGGGGGGCATGGGGGGGACGAGTCCCCCAGTTTTTGGAGTGGAGGGACGAATATCTAATTATTCCCCCCAACCTTTTAACCTGTTTAATGAAATTTTGTTTTTTGGTAACCTAAAACCCTAATGCCTGCTATGCTATTCATCCAGAACTGTGGTTGGAACGAAGACATTTAATATGATGAAATACAACATATGACCTTTCTGTAGCCGCTGGGAGCAAATACTGACATCGTATATGTTATGTAAATACTAAAAATTATTCAAATTGAATTCAAGTTTGTACATGTGCATGTAATTTATAAACATTTACATAAAGACACTATATTGGTCGTATTCACTTCCTGTTCTAACTGGCAAGCTTCAGTAAATGAGACAATAATTCGTTTTGCTTGTTTTTGTTTTTGTTTTTGTTTTTTCTTAATACGCCCGTAAAAAGTATTTTGAAGTTATTTGCACTTTGATTTTCTATTTTGGATAGGCTAGGGACCTTCTAGAAACCTAGAAGGCTTTTCAGGCTTTTTAATAGGCTTTTTAATGAAGACCCTTATACTTACATTATTTCATTCTTATATTTAGTCAGTTCGAATTATTATATTGAACAAGGATAAAACTATATAACAAATATAAAATAATATATGTATATTTACAGTAAAGAAGGTGATAATATATTTTAAACTATTATATACATCAATTATTGAGCAAATCGACATAATCATAATTTATCCCTGGCCACTTGCATAACCTTGTTTTTTTGCGAATTTCTCACATGGTTAAAAATGTGGTTAAGATCAGCACATTGTACTATAACTTTACAAGTGCCTCCAAAATGCTGGAAATGCCATTTCAGTGTACCAAAATTAAAAACATTTCGGGTAGCATACCACCGGATCTTCCTAATTTGAAGTACTAGTCCGTCACACCCCCCTCCCCCCACACACACTTTTTGGGATCGATTGACACCCTTGCAGCTGGAAATATCCTGCTCAGTTATGCGGTGCTGATGGTTGGTGGATCTACTGGTAAAGTTTTGCTGATTTTCAAACACATGGGTCTTGCAGCTTATTCTGCCAGAACTTTCTTTCGCCATCAAACCAAGTTTTTATTCCCGATAATTTTTAAAAACTGGACCAATTGCAGAAAAACCATGATCAGGACGTTAAAGAACATTTCCAATGCTTCTTGGTGTGGACTGATGAAACGTTCGGCTCGATGGGACACAATGCCAAGTTTAGTGTATACAGCATGTTCTCTGCTGATCTGTCAAAGATAGTCCATTTCGAACAGCTGCATGCAGGTGTGACATATATTTCTACCCTCTATCACTATCAATCTATCAGTAAATATCATAGTTTAAGTGACAGTGTGCTTTAAATGTATCTGGATGCATTGCTAATTAAAGCTACAAGGTTAAAGCTAAGCGAAAATGAGTAAATACATGGATTTGAAACACCTGACCATGCATATATTTTATAATACATTATCCCAGGAAACAAGCTCAGCTAATAGTGTAATTTTAAACTCTGTTAGGCCTAGTATACATGCATACTACAATATAATATATCCGAGTATATTAACTATTTCTATAAATTTAGAATATTTACACTACTCACTAGTTTTTATAGACTAGCTACAACATGTCTACAATATATTAACTAGTTTATAGAAAACCTTTTCGCCGAAATAATTAAATGAACAAAGTCTAAGATACAAAATATATAGCAGATTAACTTACATATTTCTTAATATAAACACACATGGCATGTCAATGGCTATGGAACAATTTTTATCATAATACGTTTCATCACCAAAAGTATATTCGAGACGAATCATAGATATAGGAGATCTAGATTGCTAACGTATACCTAGCGCAGGCGGGGCCTACATGATAAATCCAAGATGGCGTACAACAGGGCAAAAAGACTATAGATTCTATTACGAAAAGCAGGATTTTTGCATTTTTTGCCGTCGCATTGTTTCGAAACTTATTCGGTCAAATTTTATGGTAAAGAGAAACTTACCGCGAAGATTTTGAGCATATATATGATTGAATTGGATGAAAAATCGCAAAATTATCCAGCGATAAAAGTTCGTGTGAAATGGTCAGTTCAGAGCGTTTTATTGCCAGAAATACTGTGCTATGTTAACATCTAGCCTTGTGAATGGTGTTTTATACTTGCATCTCTCATCATCATCTGCTCTGTCCTCATAATTATGAAAAATGAACTGTTATGTACCCCCCCCCCCTTGCTTGTTAGAGAAGTAAACTGATGAGAGCACTGGATGAGGGTCTATCATCTATGGTCTGTTATAATTTGCTTTTTATGCAAATAGTGAGCAAAAATTGATGCAAAACTGTACAAGTTACATATATTGTACTATATCAGTACTATACACGAACTTTTATCGCTGGATAATTTTGCGAGTTTTCATCCAATTCAATCATATATATGCTCAAAATCTTCGCGGTAAGTGTCTCTTTACCATAAATTTGACCGAATAAGTTTCAAAACAATGCGACGGCAAAAAATGCAAAAATCCTGATTTTCGTAATAGAATCTATAGTCTTTTTGCCCTGTTGTACCGCCATCTTGGATTTATCATGTAGGCCCCGCCTGCGCTAGGTATGCGTTAGCAATCTAGATCTCCTATATCTATGAGACGAATGAACTGTGTAAACAATTCGATATATTTTTACATATTTAATATATTATTCATATAAGACTGACCTGATAGGGAGGTGATTCGAACAGCGCTTTGTTCACTTCGCGGGAAATGCAAATGCGATATTTCGCACACCAAACGTTTCGATCAGACTTCTTTCGCGCGCCTTTTCGTTAAATGAAACACGTGTATTTGTTCATTATACACAGAAGCTCGTCGAGTGGATCTGTAAAAGCTATATATATCTTTCTCCTTGCAACGAGCGGCGATTAAAATTTACCAATTATTCGATTACAGCGAGGAGCGACACGCCAATAACAATTAATAACGCCAATCACACGCCAATAACTCGATAAAATTTTATCAATTTAGTAAATTTGAAAAAAATTGCACTAATTAGCAATGAAAAATTTAAAATATCAGCAATTAGAAAATAGGAAAGATATATCTGACCGTAGCATACGATACGGTTGGAACGGTCTGAATCCGCCCCCTGATATCTTAGATCTGTTCGTTGTGCATATGTTTTTGTGATGTGTGATGCATATGTTTTTAAGTAAATGATCAAAATTTAAAAAATCATGTGTTGAAAAAATGTCGTTTAAATTTCAAGAAAATTATCTTCCTACATAGAGAAATCACATGCAGTACATGATTGCTATAATGATGGCAACCTCAAGCCTTGGAAATTATACGCAAAAGCTTATACTGTCAGGGCATCTTTTAAGGATTCTTCAGTGGTGGGGTAAAACTACCAAAGGGCCCAGGCCATTTTTTTTCCCTTTCCCTGGATAGTACGCGAACACCGAAGGTGGGTTTAATCACATGCCCTCGAGAATTTTTTAAAATTTTGGTCTCTGAAATAGCATTTCCTGCATTCTGAGAACACTTTTTAAAGAAATCTCAGGTTCTCAAAGGAAATTTTTAAAAGTGAAATTTGTGATAATTTGAAATTAAGATTCAAACACAACAAGTTTAAGTAT